ATGATCTGTTTATCTTTAAGATTGCTGGCTTCAGTGCTCTAATTTATTGAGCCTTCACCCATTTGGCTGACACTAGGCAGGAATAAGGAGCTCCAAACACCATCAAAGTATGCCAGACTGCATGGCTACTCTCCAAATACCATCAAAGGTCTAATTCATCATCTTTCCTCTACCACATTCTGTTATACCTAACATCCATCCATTCCGTTATACCTAACATCCAACAAGGCTGTCACATATGACAGAATACTAGCTGCCTTATACAAAGAAATTGCCAGAAATAATTTTTGACTAACTTTCAGAAGTCCCTTGGTTTTTACCCTCCTCCACAACACTAAAGATCATCCAGACATGTGCCTCCAATCTGGTATTTATTCTATTTTGTTATGAACCACAGAACCAACCACAACTTAAAATACATGGATGCTGCAGGCCGACCTTTAAACACCTGCCTCAGAGATCATTGAACTTTCATCTTGAAAGGGTTGGCCAACACTGCATCAGCAACATTTGCTTCCAATCCCAATGTAGATATACATTTTGACTGTGCATGCCTCCTACATAACGCCTCCCATAAAGAATTTAGAGCAATCGGAGATTTACAAAGCCGCAAGAAAAATGCCATTATTAAATTTCAAGATGTAGATTCCTTCCCCCATGTGGAAGTTGTTCTATGATCTTTAATCTTACAACCCTCTCCCCTCCTCTCTCTCTCTCTTATTCTTATGTCAACTCTCTTAACATATGTTTTAACAGATGCAAAGGACAGTTAGCCTGAAGATGCCAGTTTAACATGATCAAAAATGTAGAAAGTGTGGTTGCTGTATCTTCAAATTCTGTGTATAGTGTCTTTGCAATCCAAATAATAATTTTGGTAGACGATCAAACAGCAATTAGTCAGAACACGTTACGGTTTATTTAAAACACTTTTTTAATTCAGATGCATTTTGGGTTGGCTTGTATTCCCAACCCCTCTTCAGTGCTGTTAAAATTACAAAAAACAAGGTGAGTTTCACGACATTGGTAATAATATAAGTGAAAACAATAAAAATTATATCCTTAATTTCAAAAACAATAGAACCCCCAAACTAAATATAAGATTAAAAACCCACAAAAATGAAGAAAAATTCAGACCTTTAGTAGATTTTAGATTTTCTATACTTTACAACTTAGAACAATATATCAAGCAACAATTAATAGACATCGATCATTCTAAGTACAGCGTAAAAAACGCTGATGATGTTATAAATAAGATACTGAAAATACAGAAAGGAAACACTGATAAACTAATAAGTCTTGATGTCAAATATATGTACCCAAATATAAAATAGAAATTAATAGAGGAAGGCGTACCTAATTACATTAAATGTAGATAAAACTTTAATTAATCTGATACATTTTGCATATACCAGAAACTATTTTAAAGTTAATGCAGACTTCTATAGACAAGTAGATGGCATCAGTATGGGATCAAAGATGGGGCCAAAATTAGCTGAATTAGCTATGATAAACACAAATGAAAAAATAAATAATAGCCCAGGCATAAAACTAGCAATGTGATATGCGGACGACTACTTACTAATATACAATAATAGAATAACAAATGATAATATTATTCTGAACACCGCTAATAAATTTAACGAAAATATTCAATTTGATATAGAAAAAGAAAACAATAATAAAATAAATTACCTTGATATAACAATCCTGAATACACTTAATAATTTTTGTTTCATAACATACAAAAAGTCATGTAATGTTAATAAAACTATCAACTACTATTCATATGTTCCAGAATATATAAAAAAGAATATTTATATCATGGAGTTAAAAAACATATATATAAGAATATCAGATAATAAATGGCAAAAAAATTAAAATAAAGGAGTTAGAAACTAAATTTTTACTTAACGACTATCCTAAATCGAAATTAAACACATGGCAAAAACAATACTGGGAAAATAGATTTAATACGAAATATAAATTAAGCAAAAAATACAAAACCTTCCCATATATAAAAAACATTTTTGAGGGCTGTAATAAGATCCTAAAAAAAGACAATATCAGTTTGGCACCGTCTTTGACCAACAAAATATCTCATAGTATCCATTATGACATTAATAAACAACATAACAACAAACTAAGCATTCTTAAAACTGTAGGAACTGTTTACAAACTTGAATGCAACTGTCAAAATCTGAAAATTTACATGGGCGAAACAGGCCGGTTACTAGAAACAAGAATTAAAGAACATGAAGCTGCCATTCGCCTAAAACATAACACTTCCCCTGGTACTACCACACAAGTGACAATAATTGCCAAATTAATAAAAATAATATAAAAGTGTTATATTTAGAAAAAGACCCATATAAAAGGAAATTTAAAGAACATATAGAAATCAAAAAGCACCCTAAAGATAACTTAATTAATATTTTAGAAAGAATGTTAATAGACCCCCAACGGTATAAACTAATAGAGAGCGCCTCCAGGCGTTAAAGATTGTTTAAAAGCACATCCCCTTGTACGGAATGTTAGGAATGGTTTAAATAACATTACTTGTCGTTATACTGTTACTCTGTGAACACTGGATAACACCGGTTGTCAATTTTTATTCTGCTTCATTTTTTATTGGGAATAATACATATTAACTAAAAATGTAAGTGTTTATAGATATTTTGAAATTAATAATCTATGTTATATATTTTTTATATAAATGATGTGTTAAACAGCCACGCCCTTTACTTTTTTCATATTATAGAAAATAGTCATACAACTATGTAATAAAAATATTGTCACACAAGTCTATGATGTACCATTATATAACATGTAAGTTTTTATGTTATTGTCACCCCTCATTTTTGTTACGTCCTACTTACCAATATCGTGAAACTCACCTTGTTTTTTGTAATTTTAACAGCACTGAAGAGGGGTTGGGAATACAAGCTAACCCGAAATGCATCTAAATTAAAAAAGTGTTTTAAATAAACTGTAACGTTTTCTAACTAATTGCTCTTTGATCGTCTACCAAAATTATTGTTTGGATTGCAAAGACTCTACACACAGAATGTGATAAAAAATATTTACTTTCTGATAAATTTGTGCTCAAAATTGGTTTCAGTCATTTTGTTTATTAATTATACCCAATTTTGAGCAGTTGATTTTATTTTTTTATAATGTATTCTCTAGATTTAACATGTATTAGTTTTAATTTTTAAATTTGTATCCAAATTTTTGAGATGTATTTCAAATTTTTTTTTGTAACTGTTAAACAGGTTGAAAATGTGTGTTTTGAATATAATTTTTTACTACTAAAGTGTTGATTTATCTTTAAAATTTATGAAGTTTAAGTGTACATTGTTCTAAATTTCATCTCTAATTTATATTTTATTTCTGTATTAAGTTCTGCTTAATACAGAATCTTCTGGCTAGTGCATGTTACAATTCTTCTGGGTGGACACCCTTGAGGTATACTACTAACCTGTGAAGTCTTATCCTGAACTGAATTTCCGAGACTGTAAGGTCGCCTTGTTAGAGAAAATTTGAGTTAAGAAATTCAAGTTGGAGATGTTAAATCCCTATGCTATTCTATTGAGACCTACCAAGTGCTTCATTTTCTTCGAGTTAAAGAAATATTTGAGTTACAGATGTTTGAGTTAGAAAATTTTTACTGTATTTGTTTAAATCAAAACTGTGAATTTTTAAATTCTACTTTATCAGAGAAGACATTCTTATTTTAAAAAAAACCATCCTAAACTTCCTTAATACTTTTGGGTCTTTTCATTCATCCTTAGGAGTATTATCTTTTAAAAATAACAGTTTAAGTTTAAATTGAATTCATGGAAAGGAAGTGATTATAAAAATGAAAACAGTATAATCAAATTATAAAAAAACAAACTATAAAAATGTTTTAAAAAACTAATTTAATAAGTTTGAATTATGATGATATAAAATAATGTAACAGAGAATGTGTACTGCACTATATGCAATTGTACTGTACATATGGGAACTTGTCTGCTTATGGAATGCAAAGAATTAGAACATTTAAATTCAATTAAGCTTTTTAAATGATTTAAAAATTTTTAAAATATTTGAATTAAATTTAAACTGTTGTTTAAAGATAATACATCTGTGGATGGGTCAAGAAACATGAAATTACTAGAGATGTTTAGAAAGGCATGTTAATAAGATATAAGATGCTTTTCTGATAAAGCAGGATGTAGGATAGTTTTTGGAAATTGGAGATTCCATCATGAAAATCAAAAATTCAATTAATGATGTTTCAGAAGTATATTTCTTTTTTAAACATTTACAGATGTTTAAAAAAGAAATAGTCATATATTCAAATAATAGAATTTGAATGTATAACTATTAATTATAGGGTAATCATTTGTAAACAATACTTGAATTGAATTTTATAAGACTATTTTGAATAACAATTAAGAAGTCGATTTACAGAAAATATTAATTTTCTTTACTTAGTATACTATAGATTGATACTCATGCAAATATTGTATAGTAGGATGGGAGTTCACTTCATTTCAATTTAATTAAATTAATTTGAAAATATGTATTCTGTTCTTCTTCTCAGTATATTCTGTATATTCCTTTAAAATATTTATTCTCCTGATGACGATGATTATAAATTTGTCAAAGGTACTTGTGATAAAAAAAAAAAAACACTTATAACGTCAAACTCAGTGAACTCTCTGCCCTACTATTTTCTTTACTTGTTTGGATATTAATACTTTAAGTAAAAATAAAATAATTTAATAAAAACTATTTAAATTATTTTTTAAATTTCAATTTCAATTGTAATTTTAAAAAACTTGTCACAAGGAATTTGTTCTATGTAATTTAAAAGTTTGTTAGAAACAAGAAGCCTGAAGATACTTTTTCTAATAGAAATTTGATTACTTTAAATTAACTTTATCTTACAAACTAATTTACAGAATATTTTAAATGCTCTAATTTATGTCAAATTTATTAAAATTTTTAAACAGGTGATAATTCATGGCCACCTGGTTGTGGATTAAAATTTACATCTGGAGATAGACTTGGACATGAAGATCGAGTTTTAGTTGAATCATTAAGGCCCCGGGAAATTGCAGATGTTTCTGTAGAAATGATAAGTCCTATAAAACCAGGTATATATCAAGGACAGTGGAGGATGTGTACAGCTACAGGACATTATTTTGGAGGTAATTATTTATATATGGAATAAAATAATTTAGCAAATTATAGTGTGGTGCAGATTTATTAAAATATTTATAATTATAAAAAAATTATGCTCATACCTTACTTAAAGCAGTCTCACTGTACACTGTTTCATCATTCACCAGTGCAACTTGCACTCTATGGCAACTCTCATGTCACATGATTCATTTAATATGTTCAATCATTTATTCACATTAATTCATTTGAAGTCCTTGTATTCACTTAACTTTTGTATATATTTTTAATGTATTCTTTCCAATTATGTTGGGAAGAAACATGCGACTGATGATGGCTTAAAAAATGCAAAGGAAAAGCATTTTTCTGGACATGAAACTACAAGTATTATGTCAATTAGAAAGTGGTGAGTATGAAGTATATGTGGATGCTTTTTTCAATTTGGCATTCTCCACAATAAGAACAATTGTAAAAATACAGTTAAGATAAAATGCAGATGAGATAAATAGCTATGATGTAGAAATTTTTAGCAACAAAAGTAACTTGTATAAGAAACCATGTGTTTAAAGAAATGGAAAGAAGCCTTAGTATTCAGATAGATGATTAAATGCAAATAGCACATGTCTTTATAATAAAGATATGCTGAAAATACAGCATATCTTTATTTTCAGATATGTTCTGTTCTTATTTAACTTTTAACTTATATGTACCATAAGTGCTGGTATATGTTGTAATGACTCCATTTTATGCTAATTTACTTAGCATTCCTGAAAATATGATTGTATTATGCAAATTTTGTGATTGATTAAATGAAATGTATAACAGAATTTATCAGCTTAATGTAGAGAAGCATAAATGTTTCCAAAGCGGAACATTTTGATATTGTCAAATTCTCCAAGTTAAGAAATGAATGATTGAGAAATCATTTATTAATTGAACTTTTTAAACCAGTTTCTGTTGTGGCACATTTAACACTTCAACATTGAATTTTTATAAACATATTATTAGTATAATTAGAATCTAACATTAAATTCAGGCTTAATTGAATATATGACAGTCAATAACAAATAATATAAATGTACTAAACAATAATTATTATTCTGCAATCTCAGGAAATCTTATTCAAAACAAACTTATTATGACCTCATGCCAGAACTATCTTTCAGCTTTATTATGAAGTATAACACACAAATTCATCTGGTTACTTCTTTATTACAGAAATATTTTTACACTATAATCGAAAGAGAGACTCAATAGGATTAATCTGGAAAAACTGTTTAATTTGGGAAAGATAAATGTTTTTTGGAACTTTGTTTACTTCTATCTTCAAATCTGTTTTACAGAAAGATAGCATTTTAAAATAACTTTTGAAAACATTTCTTTTAAGCTATAAGAATGCTTACTGTGAAAATTCAAATTTGAAAATTGCATTGGCCAACTGACACCAAATGTCGTGTCTAGTATTTGAGTAAGACCTTGGAATAGATCTGCTTTATTGCAATAGATTCCTACCTATTCTGCTGGCAATTCCATGCTCATGTCCAAGAATCAAGAACTATTTTTACATGAGAATTATTTAATCTTTATTTGGTCAGAGGCTGGTCCTGCTGGTAGGACAAACTTACCAGCAACAGAGACATGGTAAAAGATAGTACTAAAGCTAGAAATCACACTTATTATTAGCAACAGAAAACAATTTTATATATATCTATGTAACTTGTTGTACAATGTACATTCATACATGTGGTTTTATCATTCACATTCCACTGTACATGGCACCAGCCACCGTTTTATACAGAACAGATTGTTTCCAAGCAGATAGTGATGTTCCAGTTATCACGAAAGTTGTCTTTAGACCACGAATTATTGTTGTTATAGTCAAAATAGGTAGTTAGAATACTCACACTCTTGTTGGAATAAATGCTGGTCACTGTCATATTTGTTTGTATCAGGGCTGCCAACTATTGAACTTTGCTGCTTCTCCACAATGTATGGTGTAATGTGGAAAAGGTTCTGTCCTACTAGTAGGAACAGTTTGCATGTTATCCACTCAACAGTGAGGGACAGATATATCTGTCCAGGACAATTGTGTGGCAGTGGTGAGGGACAGATATATTTGTTAAATTCTTTTGGGGTATCACCAAAAACTACTGCGAAAAAAAAAATTCACATAAAAAATGAATTACGTAACAATAAAAAAGACTTTTCTTTACTAGACATAACTGTTTACAAAATCTTTTTCCAAAACAGTAATGAGAAAAAAATGCGTGGAAAAATACTTTAAAAATTTTCCACGTTTATTCTCTACTACTTTCGGGTAGCACCATACCTGACTATCCCACTGCTGAAAGGTTAAAAGAGCCTAAAGTTAGGGCTTACTCATAGGAGGTATTTCAGGTAGGCCACTGACCAAATAATCATTAATGTTAATATTTTTCTTTAAATGTATGTGAATAAAGTAAGATATTTCAAATATTTTAAATTAATTAAAATCATATTTAAATAATTCTTTTACGATAAAATCTATTGTAATACAGAAGTATATATCAATAAGTATCGTAAAATCATAATGTATCTCTAAAATTAAATTAATTCAATGTTTAAGAGACTTTTTAAGAGGAATGAGTAAAATAGAGACATTCTATAAAAAATAAAAAATTGCCAGGACATTTATATAGAAATATATTTTCTATATAAATGTAGAGACATTCTAATTTACGTTTTATGTAGGAATAGCGATTGAAATAGAAAACTATAAATAACAATAATCTTCTGGCATTTGTAACCACCTTGATAGATTGATAATGTTCTCGCCTTTGTAATATCTTTTTGTCCTTTCTTACTTTCGCACCATCACCAACTGTCATCTTCCCTTACTGTTTTGTTCTCCTCATCTCCCCCGCAACCAATCGTAAATTTTTTGTCTTTAATGGTTTACGAATGTTCCTTGTCTAAACCCCACATTTATATGATTTACATATAGGTATGCGTTAATGTTCTCATTATTCCATAATACTAAGTATAAATAGATCTACAAATTCATTAAATTAAATTAAATTAAAAGTCAAATGTTTGTTCATTTATACTGTTTGGAAATTTTGATATTATTTCATTTTTATTAATTTCAAGTTATCTTTGATTAGTTCAGCCAGGACTGATGAAAGAGCAAGCCCATTTTCATTCCTTGTTTTTGGAGATAAATTTTGTTATTAAAGTGAAAATAATTGTGCTCTGTTACAAGTAAAAGGGCCTCACATATTTTCAATACCTGTTGAATAGAAAATCCTTTGTTTATTAATAGTATATTGGCTAGCATTACTGCCTCGAAATAGGGCACAGATGGACATAAGGAAACCATATCTATTTTATAAAATCAGAACCTATTTGGTGCTAAAGATCCAAGTATTCTGTTGATTGTAGCTTTTGCTTCTGTGAGAACTGAGGGGGTGGAGCGTCGATCTTCTCCCCACTTACCGGCGGCTCTTGTCAGATATGGCTATTTAGGAGGGCTAAAAATAATGTGAGTGGGGAGGTCCATGAGTAAGTCGATAGGTTCCTGAATAATTACACAGGTTGAACAATACAAACATATTTAATTAACTAACAAACAAATACAAATCAAAAAGGTTACAATAATTCAGTCTAATAAGACTTTATCTAACTACCTAAGAACTAATTCTAAAGATTTAATACAATTGAATCTTAAGCTATGATCGAGAGAGTAACGAGGATCGAGAGAGAAAGTGCTGAATTGTGGTTAAGTGCTTATGGATTCCCGCTCTCATAGTATGGGAGGTTGGTAAAACGCTCTTGGATCGGCGGTTTCTAATCGCAGTTTTCCTTCTGTGGTGGTATGGAGTGATGGACAGTATGGTGGTATGGGTCTGGTGTTCCTTGGTGTCCGCTTTTCTATGTCTTCTTCTGAGTGAATGCTGGCTGTCTGCTTGGCGGGATCTGCCTCGGCTGTCTGCTCGTAGGTGTCTGCTTCGGCTGTCCTGGCCTTGGTTATCTTTGGCTGCCCACGCTCTGGCTGTCTTTGGCTGCCTGGAGGTGCAACCCCTTTTTATATACGTCCTGGAGGGGAATCATCGGGGGAAAATCTGATGCAATCACATGTAACTCTTGACTTGCTTCACGAGTTATTTACATTATTCTGACAGCCATTGAATGGTTCTTTTGATTTATTATGTTTTCTACCCATTACTTATGATGGGAAAGCGTCACACCAGCTGTCAAACTTCTTAAATTAATTGCTGCAGGTGGCTAAGTTCCGAACATCTGCATGGTCACCTGGATTATAATTGTGAGCCATCCTGTTACTCTCTATCATGTAACAGGTGTAGATTCTTGTCAATTGGCCACTGATTTGTACATTATAATGAAGGTGGAACTGAATAATCTCCTGTTGTGAGGGGAGAACTTCCAAAGACGTTTAGGTCACCTTTTGAAGTGAAACAGTACACTTATAGGTCAAAAGGTGTAACTTTTACTTCACTGATGGGGGAGAAAAAGAGAAATAATGATAAAAATAAAAATTTACCGATGTATGAAAATTTATACGTGAATCCGAATTCTCACACTTCTATTGCAGAGGATACTACCAGCTCTGACTGAGGCATTAAGAATTTAACTTTGCTAAGTCTCACTCTAAGAAGTATTTGGGATGGGTACATTTGTTTACCAGGAGATGCAAAAGTCATTCTGGCTTCTTAGTTTTTCCTTGAAGAATAATTTCGGACATGCCATGGGTCAGGTATATCTAAGATATGTATATGGTCTAAGGGACCAGGCAGAGTTGCTGCTACACCCGGCAAGGCAATGATTTTTCTTGTTTTTCTCAGGACAGTTATTGTTGGGTCTGAAACTAATAAAATGCATTTTTAATAATAAAATGCAAATTTGCTTTTCATTTGCTTGCTTTTCATTTGCTTTTGCACTTCGATTGTAAAAAGAACCGATTCTCCTTAAGCAGTAATTCATCATTTCTGCACAAAACAAAGCTTTTAAATTCTCTTTCTCCAGAACCTTTTTATTGTGATAGTTTTTAATTATTGGCTGAAACTGAGTGTATGAATGATATAAATCTTTAAATACAAATTTAATTTTATGAAAATTTTATTATGTTTTATGAATTTAGGTATTCCTGTTCAAAGGAATCATAATGATTTGCAATAAATAGGAAATTAATCATTGATTTCACTTTAATATAAATATAAATATTTGATTTGTAAATGCAATTTATATTTCTTGATTGATATGATTATAACATTTTTTGATATTAATTAATAAGTTTTATACTGTTTTAATCTTTATTTTAATTATTACTTACATTTTGTAAATTTTTTCTAGAAGATAAATTCATAATAATTTCATCTGGCTAAAGTTTTATATCTAACAGTTAATATTGTTTAATAATTAACATATATCATTTTATAAATTTTGCTTTCATTTTTACAGAAATAATCTGGGTTATTGTATCTGTAGCTGAAGGAGGATTATTAGGTGTTACTCAACAAATGGAAGCCTTTCATCAGTTAGGATCTCCGCCACGTAATTCACATATACCTTCTGGAAACCCATTTGCTCCTACTGGAAAATACACAGGTTTGTATTTAATAGAAGTTAAAATCTTAAATGTTTTGCATATGGAAATTTTAAAATTAATATAAATTTTAATAATGACAATTTCAAATTATTTAAAATATGTAATTGATTCTGATGTGAAAATTCCAGTTGTTTTCAGTTTATTTGTAAAGTCTTGCTTGATTCAGTTGTTATTAAATTGTCATTATAGGTTTTGTTTCTCTAATTCAAAGAAATTAAATAATTATAAAATTTATTTATAAATATTTTGTTCTGTATCTCGACAATATTTCATAACAGTTTTTATAAATGCTTAAAATTCTTATGAATCACTTTTTTGTATTTTGTGTATAACTATCAAATGACTTCCTTATTCAGAGTTACTTCAATATTCCTTATTCAGAGTTACTTCAGAGCTGTTTTAATATGTGTGTAAATAACTGCTTTTAATATTATATTATACTACATTATTATAATGTTTTGTCTAATAGAAAAAGCTAGCATATAAATACACACTAAAGGTTAAATTAAATTACATTAGCTAAAAATAGGTAATAAATTCTGGTTATTTAGAAATAGTATGATTAAAAACCTTTATCAAGACATCTCAAGCTAATTTTTGATAATTCTTTTCATAGAATTTGATTTCCATCTTCAGAAGTTCATGAGTTCCAATATACAGTGGGTGATCGGTTAACAAACATAATCCATTCCAAGACTTTGTTTGTTATCTGAATTGTTCGTTAACCGATTATCGATTTACCATAGGTTTTTATGGGAATTTGATTAATTCATTCCAGAGACTCCAAAAAATAAGAAATATATACTTTTTTACTATGTTTATTTATATGTAATAGAAAAATACATACATACATATATATATATATATATGCAGTCTTGCATTTTTATTAGTCATGCTTTTTCCATTTGTAGGGGTTAAAGAATCTGTCCAATGTTGATTGCTTTTCTCTTTTCTTCAGGATTTTTCGGAAGTAATTAATAGCATTGTAATTGTAGAGATCCCCAACCCCATTAACCTTATTCTGATTTGGATGCCACTTGGATGATTGTTGTTCTGACATCTCTGGAGTTCTATCATCAGATCAGTTTCAGGTTCCATTATGAGCTCTAAAATGCTCTTTATTTCTCAGATGTGATTTTCATTACTCCATTAGCAGCTTGAGACCTGTTGATATATCTTTCATAGCTAAGATTGTGCCTGCTGTAGACCTGTTCAAGCCATACACCTAGCAACATCAGACATCTTGTGCCCACTTTCTACCTTGGCTATTATCTATTACTTGGTTTCTATGGTGAGCACAGTTCTTGACACTCCTCTTTTTTAGGCTCCATAATATTATCAGTTTCTTTTTTAAATAAAAAATTCGAGAACAGAAATCAACTAGCTCACAAAAATTCATTTAAATGCAAGGCCCAGATGGAATTCGAAATTTGGTATTAAAACATTAACAAATATCTGATAGAACAGTTATACTTTCACCTTTCGTAAATAAACCCTGATGCAAAACTTAACAAGTGCTCATCTGACAGTCTCACGAATACTATAAAAAATTATTTGTTATAAAGGTAAACAAAAAGCTGGAATTGCAAGGGAGAGTTTCAAAATTTGGAGGAATATTATACTATCTGATCGGTTGAGCATCAGGTTGAGCATTGATGTTGACATCTCCCATGCTTCGAAAGGTTTCAAATTCTTACCTGAAGACAAGGGAAAATTAATCGGTATTCATTATTTCCCATCGCTTCTTTTTATGTTTGTTCAGTAGTGTTTGTTATCTGAACATGTGTTCATTGTCTGATCATAAAAATCTTTCGTGAAAGTGTTTTTTATCCGACTTGTCCGCTCAAAGCTGGACTACGGATGCATTGTTTATGGTTCTGCGTGAGAATCTACTTTTCAGATGCTGGATCTAATCCACCATCAAGCACTGCGCTTGTGCACTGGTGCTTTTCGAACTTCTCCTGTCCAAAGTTTGTATGTGAATGCTTATGAGCCTTTACTGTCTCTCAGGAGAGAACAGTTGTCTCTTTTTTATTACATCAAACAGAAATCTCTGAATAGACTTTCAGCTAATAGTTCAGATACTCAGCTGAAAAGATTATTTGCAGCTTGGATGAGTAGTGTCCCTACATTCGACATAAGAATGGAGAATGTAAGTGGCATGATTGACCTGGACACAAGCAACATCTCACAGGTTGAGGTTAATAGTATTTCACTTTGGTCAACGCCAGCGATAAATTTTGACTTAAGCTTAAAGCAGTTCCCCAAAGAAACCACACCAGACTACATCTACAGTCAGCACTTCACAGAAATTCAACATTGTGACAGGAATTTTATTCCTATATACATTGATGGATCTAGTCCAGGGGTCGGCAACCTGCGGCTCACGAGCAACATGCGGCTCTTTGGATGTGAAGATGTGGCTCTTTAGTTCCATACACAAATATTATTTATTTTATCCAAAAAAAAAAAAAAAACATTTAAAAATCGTTCTGAATCGATTAACGAGGATTAGGCACTTATTCTATCTCTCAGCCAATTGTACTCGCTTTTCACCGACGGACTGACGACAGTGACGACGCGTCACTGTCGTCAGTCCGTCGGAAGCTCTCGAATGACGCCGTCGTTGGATGTTTCTATGAGGTTTAATTCGCTTTCGACGTAAGACAATTTTTCTTATGAATAAATAGATTAGTTTTTTTTTTATCAAAAAACTTTATTTATGCGAGTACTATTTATTGTTGGCAAGAAAAAATTTTGTGGCTCTTTAAAAACTTTGAAATTTTGTAAATTGTAATTTTTGGCTCTTCCGACTCAAAAGGTTGCTGACCCCTGATCTAGTCGAATAACTATGTTGGCTTAGTCTTTGTTTGCCAGGATGAAATTGTGGCAGAACAACTAGCACTGAATTCTTCCATATTTTCTGCAGAGTTGCAGGCTATTTATTTAGCCCTAAAGTATATAAATAGGGAAGGTCATCGTTGCTGTGTGATTTACACTGACTCAGTTAGTGCACTTCAGGCTTTGATCTCCTGTAAACCTTGTTCTCACTCCATGGTGATTAAAATCTGTAATGTGATTTGCCATCTTTTGCCACGAATCTCTCTATAAAATTTTGTTGGGTCTCAGGCCATGTAGGTATAAGAGGGAATGAAGAAGCTGATGCAGCTGTAAAGTCAGCAAGTTTGTCTCAGCATACAATGTTTATTGAAGGAGAAGACTTGAAGCTAGTCATTAAAAACCAACTAGCAGAGAGATGGCAAAATATGTGGAATGCACAAGTCCACAATAAACTACATGAGATCAAACCTATGATAGAAAATTGGACACAAAATAAACAATATGACAGGAGATCTGAGGTTATTCTTACTTGTTTGAGAATTGGGCATACTCGGTTGACTCATCAGTACCTTTTGAAGGGCGACGAGCAGCCAGTGTGCCAGTATTGCAACAGCTTTCTAAGTGTTAGACACATACTGCTCGATTGCTCTGCCTTTGAGACCAGGCGTAGACAGCATTTTGAAAATGCAAGTTTTAAAGAGATTTTGGGCCAGAGGCCAAATCTTTATAATGTATTGGACTTTTTAAAAGTCACTAATTTGTATAAAGAAATTTAATTATTTATATATATATATCTATTTATTTATTTATCACATTTTTGTGCATTGTTTGTTTGTACATAATAAGTACAAACAAACAACAATTATGTACAAACTTATTATTATGTATATATTTGTTTTTGCTATTGTTGTTTATTTATTTATTNCCTGACATCTCTCTGTTCCCCCACCCATTTGTCCTTTAATCACCATAATTTAATAGCAGCAATTCACTATATACAGTCTGGAAATAGCCCAGCCAAGTTTCAAAATTTTTGTTCATTCAATCCTGAGATAATGCAAACTGTACGCCGGTACACAACTATAAAGAATTTTGTAAGAGTTTTTCTTTTTACAGTTTTGGGCTTCTGAAGTGTCGTCAAAACGTCGATAAAGGCAAAAGAAACGGGGAGGAGGGTAAAAATTTGACGATATTTTACTTTCCTTATGTTATATTCTGTAACAGCTGGGAAAGTAACATTTGTTAAAAATTCAAAATAAATAATTAAAAGCATGGATTATTAATAAATGTCACTTCTAAACGGCGACCATTTTACAGGAACGTTTCTTTTTTACTTTCGCTGCTGTTATATATAACAGAGAAAAAGCATGTGGATCGGTCAAAAACTGACCCCTTCAAATTTTTACATTTTTGGACTTAGGACACCTTGAAACGTCGAAAAATGCAAAAAAAACAAGGTAATTTCTGTATATATGCATGTTAGTGTGGGTATGCGTGTAGAGCACGAGTTTTTCCCCCTGTTTGAAGCTTAATAACTCCTGTGCTCTTTGTCGAAAATTTCTGAAATTTTACAGGAAGATTTGATTATTAGGGGGGTTGATTCCATTAAATTTTGGTGGTTAAAGGTCGAGGGGATGGGGAGATAATGGAGATCGTGTGTATCTCCAGTAGGGTCTACTTAATGACGATTTTACTAGCTAGCATTTACATTTTTTTTTATAAAACCCATCCTTACCCTCAAAATTAAGATTTTTGCCGTTTTATAATAGTTAAAAACATAAAAAGTTTTTAAAATAAAATATGATAACAGATGGCGCCACCATAATTTTAAATGTTGCCGGGAAAATTAAATAACTCGTTGTTGGTTTAATTTTTTAAATGCATACAAAGTATCGGCCATCTGCGAACAACTGCTATCCTTTTACGTTCCCGCCTGTGACCGTGGTTCAAAAGTCTGACTTAAAAATAAATTATAAAAGAGACTTTAACTAAGCTTATGTAACACTTTAATTATATTTTATCTCATTAATTATATATAACAGGAGTGGGCAAGCAAGAGTTCAGTGGGAGCCGAAATGTAAGTTTTGCAAAATGCATGGGAGCCGCAGTTCTGTACTTTGATTTTATTATATAATATAAATATAATATAAAACAAATATTGAATTTTTTAATAAACATATTTTCACAAAATTGTGGAAACAAAATTGTAAAAATAATAATAAAAAGCAGAAATTAACACTTTCAGCAAGAGCCACATGTAACTCAAAAAAGAGCCATATTTGTCCATGTCTGGGTTATATGATTAAGTAATTGAAATATTCTATTTTATGAAAAGCAAAGGAAATGCATAAAATGTAAGTTTCATAAAATATTTGATTGAGTTAACAGAGAAATATGAGTAATAGAATAATAAATACAAAGAACAAAATAAACAAAAAAGTTTTAAAATGTTTCTTAACACTTTCACTATTGGCTTAAAAACTGATTTTCGTACTAATATGATGAAAGTTTTTTTATTTTTTGTTTAACGATAATTATGTTAAAAGTGTCAAAGGAATTTCTGCTGTTGTATTTTTTTTTTCCTGAAAAAAAGGGCATAACGTTTGTGCCAATAAAACATTTAATATACAAAATACTAATATAAAATCAATGGATGAAATGTATTCTTTGAAGTTACAATAAATTATAAAAATAAATTTTTTCAAGTGATAACATAGTCAAACTTAGGATGCAAATGAGTGCTCTTGACACATTGGGTGGGGCAGTGTAGGATGCACCAAGATCTTTGGCACTGAGAATGTTAAATTATTCAAATTTTATATCAAAGAACAAATAATACAAGTACCATTAAACAATGAAGCTTTAGAAGTGAGAAATAACTAAGGAATGAGATAAACATGCACTTTTCCAAATTTACTATTATATATGTTGTAAGGAAAGTATTCCTTACCCAAATTAGTATAAGCACTACACGTATATATCTTTGTGTCATAATAATTTTATTTGTTTAAAATTTTTATTTTATAATAATAATTTGTAGAGTAGATGAAAAATGTAACACATATGTGTTAAACATTCAAAAATGGTTGACCTCAAAAGCTAAAACAATTTGAAAATATGTTCTAAAAATAGAATCTCTAACATTTGGTAAAGTTCCATGCTTGATGGCCCTTAAAAGAGATTGAAAATGTTTTGTTTTTTGTATTTAATTCAAATACATATTATTTGCTGAAAATTTTGTATGCGTGGTATGTTGTTTTTAATTTAATCAAATACATTTAAAAAAAACAAAAGCTCTATTTTTACAATGAATTTTATTTCCTTAGTAGATGTTTTCTAAAGTGTAAAACTATAATTTGTCAACCGACTTAACACAAGTTTTAAGGATTAAACTTTTATCAAAATTTTGATTTCCTTTATTTGCATCATTTATCTAAAATTAATTAAATTTTCAACAACTAGAAAATATTTGTTTTCTACTTAGACTTCAATTAAATAATAGTTGATATTCTCTAGTTTAGTTCTTTGTCTAAAATAATAATTGATGACACAGAACTAGAAAATTTGTTGAAAGAATTTGTTGGGTTACCAATTTCATATAAAGCATCTTGCAAATACTTTTGTTACATTATAAATTGAAGTAACTGACCTGTAAAAAATTACAGAAAGATTGATTGAAACAGATATAAACAGAGAATATAAAAAACATCTTGGAACTATTAACCTTCAGAATTGTTAACCTAAAAAAATTTAACATAATTTTTTTTAAGATTGTTTATATAAAGAAAGAAATCTATTAGAATATTGAATTTTTTTAAAGTACTGGAATTAATTTCTATACCCTGATATTAAACTATTATGTGATGACTTAAATACTTTTATTTATGAGAGCATATTTTTATAAACTGCTGTCATCAACTTTCTTTTTATGATAATTCCTAATACATTGTGAATTATCAAGTATTTTTTTTCCAGTAAATTACTACTATATAGCAGTGGCATGCCATCCATGGAAGCTGTGGAAGCACTGCTTTCCTTGTATTTTCTAAAATATAAATACATATTGTGCGATTATTTTCATATTTTATTATAATTGCATTATGTATTTTATTACAAATTTCTATACTTGTGAAAAACAATGATAAGATTGCTATTGTATAATCAAATATAAATTTATATATGCATATTTCTAATGGAATATGCATATATGAATTTATATTTGATTATACAATGGAAGTGCTGTATTGTCAAATATGGGATGGCTTCCATGGCGAAAATATTTGAATTGTGTAAAACAGCCAGATTATATGCATCTATGCATGTGCTTTACAGAGTACCAACCCCATGCAGTTTAGCTTGTGGATGCTACACTCCAAAGTATCGTATAATGCTTCCAATGATTCTATCCAGGGCCAGCACAGCTTCTCTATTATCAAATGTCACCTCATGCCATTGCTATATAGTAATTTACTAAAATATAATAGAAATATTGTTTCTTAAATGAAATAAAATTTGGGAGTGACGTTCACAAATAAATAGAATATGAAGTTAAAGGAGTAGATATTGCAAATTATTGATGTGCAATGTTTGCTGTATCTGTTACTTCAACTTAAAAGCTTTGTATAATGATTATTAATGTTAATTCAAACAGCAAATGATGATGATTGGATTATGCAAATAATAAAATTTTTATTTATGTGACCTTTACAATATTATACAATTCAATATTTTTAAACAATGAAGATTTTGCCTGTTTTGTCTAATGTATACAAGTTATTTCTGTAAATAAGCTCTAGGTTTAGTTAAAAGGACTTTAGTGTGAAATACTGATGACAAAAGTAAGCCAAAGCTCATTTTTTGATACTTATTTATTAAAAATTACTTGTGAAAAAATTACATAGTAAGTAATTTTGTTTAATGTCAGAAGAATCATAATTTTTCAATACTTTAATATTATTTTTTATTTTTATAATTTTTCAGTTTTCCAGATTCTTCAAATTCACCAATTCTAACCAATGTTAATCTAAGTACAGTTGCAAGTTTCTCTTGATGCAGCTATAATTCACTTTTAGCTATTCCACAGGTTTTGAAACTTCTTACAGTTGAATTCTGTTGGCATTGATATCCAATTTTCTAAATAGTTTTCCAAGTTGATTATCTTCTATATTCATTTGAACTGAATTCTTTGTTCATAACTAAGTGATATTTTAAATAATGCAGTTACATTGATGCAAAGGGCTGAAGTGGAGTCTTGAATGGTATAAACATGATAAAAACATTTGCACTTTTAGCATTTTTAATCTTGAAATTATTGAATATTTTTAAGTAGGACAAACTCATCTGTTATCATTACATAAAAAGAATTCTTTTTGGTGAAACATTGTCAGATTCAACCCAGTACAGGATCTTCATTCATTGATCCTNTTCTGTGTTGTTGTTTGTTTGTACTTATTACGTATACATTTGTTTTTTGTTGTTGCTGTTGTTTATTTATTTATTATTGTCATATGTTCGTTATTAACCATCTTTAAAATTTTTTTAACCATTTCCCCTGGCGCAGCTTAGCCTATATGGCTCTTGTGCCAAAAAATGAAAACCAACTGATTTGTTTGCTATTCGAACTGTTCGTTAACCAATCACCCACTGTATTTAAATTTTTAATCTTAAGTTCTGTTGTGTCTGTAATTCTAATAAACTTGAGGATGACTGTTAGAGATTGTCAACATTTGTTTTTCTAATACATGGTTCATTTTGTACTGGATTACTGGTTTTGGTGCTTATTTATTTTAATCACACCCAGTTTCCTTTTGTTTCTATTAGTCAATCTTTAGAATGCCTTTTGGGTGGGCAAGCAAAAGTTCAGTGGGAGCCGGAATGTAGGTTTTGCAAAATGCATGGGAGCTGCAGTTCTGTACCACAGTTCTGTACCATGATTTTATTATATACAGTAGATCCCCCTATAAGACGGTAGATACGTTCCGTTCTTTATGAATCAATTTTGTAGGAATCATAGTTTACGGACTACGGCTGTTTGAAAGGTTTTCTTTCATAAAATTAATCGATTCTAGACNGGTTTAGTTAAAAGGACTTTAGTGTGAAATACTGATGACAAAAGTAAGCCAAAGCTCATTTTTTGATACTTATTTATTAAAAATTACTTGTGAAAAAATTACATAGTAAGTAATTTTGTTTAATGTCAGAAGAATCATAATTTTTCAATACTTTAATATTATTTTTTATTTTTATAATTTTTCAGTTTTCCAGATTCTTCAAATTCACCAATTCTAACCAATGTTAATCTAAGTACAGTTGCAAGTTTCTCTTGATGCAGCTATAATTCACTTTTAGCTATTCCACAGGTTTTGAAACTTCTTACAGTTGAATTCTGTTGGCATTGATATCCAATTTTCTAAATAGTTTTCCAAGTTGATTATCTTCTATATTCATTTGAACTGAATTCTTTGTTCATAACTAAGTGATATTTTAAATAATGCAGTTACATTGATGCAAAGGGCTGAAGTGGAGTCTTGAATGGTATAAACATGATAAAAACATTTGCACTTTTAGCATTTTTAATCTTGAAATTATTGAATATTTTTAAGTAGGACAAACTCATCTGTTATCATTACATAAAAAGAATTCTTTTTGGTGAAACATTGTCAGATTCAACCCAGTACAGGATCTTCATTCATTGATCCTCCAATTGGGCTGTTACTTTCAAATTTTAGGAATAGTTTTCAACTAGCAATAATCGCGCCTCGGATTAACCTCACTGGCTACGATATCGCCTCTAGCTTTGCGCAGAGGCGATATCGTAGCCAGTGAGGTTAATCCGAGGCGCGATTATTGCTAGTTGAAAACTATTCCTAAAATTTGAAAGGAATAGTTTAAAAATTACTTGTGAAAAAATTTGCATTTGCACTTTTAGCATTTTTTATCTTGAAATTATTGAATATTTTTAAGTAGGACAAACTCATCTGTTATCATTACATAAAAAGAATTCTTTTTGGTGAAACATTGTCAGATTCAACCCAGTACAGGATCTTCATTCATTGATCCTCCAATTGGGCTGTTACTTTCAAATTTTAGGAATATTGCACTTTGCTACTTTCTTGTAACTTTTAATGATCACTACTGCTAGAAAGAGGCTGAAGTACAAAGAGTGATGGTTAACTGTGTTTTATTATTTCTGATTGAAATGGCTTCTTTGTTCTTCTATCTAATAAACAATATTATTGTTGGCAACATCTTAACATAAACTGGAGTATCCTCAATTCATTTATCATCTTTAATGTATTACAGATGATAAATGAATTGAGGTCAGTAATTTTTAACTTGATGTTTGTAAAGTATAAAGCTGCTGTTTGTCTTTTTGTTTTTTAAATATTCTTGTGTTATGCTATCCAACAGTCATGATCATATAAGATCATTTTCTATTAACAATTTAGGACTGTGAAGTTACAGCAAAACCTATTTTTCATTTACTGTAAATAAAATCACAGAAGTCTTTTTGGCATCTATTTTGCTTTTTATATATGGAAAAAGCTCTTCAATAGTAAATTTATTCTAAAATCTTTTAAGAACACAAACTCACTGTCAGAGGAATTGTGTGTGCCACATTACATATTTTATTAATAATAATTATAAATGCTAAAATAAACCCAGAAAAAAATTAAATAAAAATAATCTTAGTATCAATAATTTCCAGTGATGGGTTCAAGAGCCTATGATTCAGCTTTTATTTGCCATGGAGAACTGTACTCATTCAATAAAAGATAGGCTTTTTTATATGGTAAAGATCCGATGGATTATAATCATCAGGTATCCAATACAATGCTGAAATTCAGTTTTGTTCACCCTATTTAGTGTTTAGAAAACATTTTGAAAGTTTATTTTACTAGTGTTTTTCAACTTGGAAATTATTTAATAATATTTTAAATTGTGTGTAAATGCTATTTTTGTTAATATAAAATAGATTTCTAATTATAGATTTGAAAAAATGTAGAAAATACAGTAAAGTGGTAATAATGTTATTTTTATTTTTGATTTTGTTAGCAAACTGGCAGAAAATAATGATCTTGTTAATAAACATTGCACATTTAAGTTAGAGATATCATTTTAAATGTTTATAATTATTTTAGTTCTCAAAATAATTTAAGTATTTTAGCTTGTTGGCATTATAATTATCAAGTTGTCTTAATTGTCAATGAGTCTGACAAATTGCATATCAAAAATGACTGAAAAGTTCATTTTTTGTTGGAGAAGTTATAAATTTACAATAAGAATGATAAATTCTAAAATAAGTTTAAAATGTTTTTATTTAACATTTTTTTTGTGTTAATGACATTCATTGACATGGGTTTGAAGGTCAATTGCTCAGCTTCTAAATAGAACATTCTAAATTTCATTTTCTGAAAGTTATTGTTTAGAGAGGAAAAAATTATCAGAAACTTATCAGTTTTTAAGGTAGAAAGATTGAATAATATCAATTGCAGCATTGGTTGACACACAGAAAATGAACAGGAGAAAACTAAAAGTGAGGGATATGTATATATATATATATATATATATATACTTTCAGGAGTCATCTTTGGGGGAAATTGCAATGACATGTTGTATTATGTGGCAACATATAGGATTTTTTACATTGTATAAAGATGCTCTTGGTGACTTTAGACAAAAGAAAAATTATCTGATTAGTTCAAAATTGTGAGTTAGATAGATAACTTCCAACATTGCTTATTTTTTCAAATGGATTTTCAAACACAGATAACCCATTGATTATTCACACAAAATTATAATACTAATTTTGGCTATTATTAGTGTAGACTGTTATAAGTCAGGAGTTTGTAAATTAGGGACAGATTATATGTTATATGCTTACATAAAGTGTAATAAAGAAATATTTGCATGGATATATAATTATATATCCATTTTTGTATTTCAAAGTTTTAATTTAAATTTTTGTAATACATCACACACTTGCTAATCTGAACTCTGCTCAAACTAAATTAATTTTATTTCTTTTTTTGTCAAATGTTCCAACCAAAAACAAAAAGTAACCATAGATTAATTTTAAAAACATTAAAAATTTATGAAATTAATATGCACTTTTATATGTTTTAATGTAAATATATGTATGAAATACAATAAAAAAATTTGTTTTAATAAATATGTATTTATCTACAGTATTTTTGACTTCCTTTTCTTTATACAGGCTATTGTAAATAAATGAACTGGTTCCATAACTTGGAAATGACTAAAGGTAGGAGGATCAGACTAATTATGGCCAAACAAGATGCAAGGAAACTATACATGTCCAGAAGTTGGTGAGTGTGTGTTGGGATTCTGGGGTTATAGGATCCTATAAGGGGGTTTCTCATGAAAGTTCAGTGGTATGTAGGGTAAAAAATGGTTTTATTGGAAAGTACATTGGGCCAAAAAATTAAGTTAACAGGACATATTTATTGATTATGTGATTAATTAAAAATATGCTGTTAAAACTACAATGCTAACAAATTTTTATCATGTAATTTGCACTTCATGCATACAATATGGGTAAATTTATATATTTATGTATTTATTTGCCATTTTACATAAATTAAAAAAAAATTTTTTAATTGAAAAACGTTGCAAAAAAATTTTGTTGACACCCTAAAAAACTAAAAAAATTATTGTACGTAACTTGACATATGCAAATTATTATCTGGTGTGTAAAACATCATTGGAGATTGTGTAAAGTAATAATGGTTCCACAGAATGAATTATCTGTTGTCCAGAGAATGGAAGTTATGGAAAGTTATGAACATTGCAATCATTTTGTGCAGTTGCTAAACAGCATAGTTTATCTGTTGAAAGAGTATGAAAAATTGTAAAGAAATACAAAGTGGATTTGTTGAAAATCAGCAGTTGAGTGGAAGAAGCTGATGACATTTACTTATGAAGGCAAGTTTATTGTAAGAACAGTAACTAAAGACACTAAGAAAACAGCAAGAGAAGTTAAATCTGACATGTTTGGCCATGGAAAAAGAGGATCTTCAATTCAAACTATCAGAAATCGATTACATGAAAAAACTTTCATAGCAGAATGGCAAGAAAAAAGCCACTCAACTTCTCAAATATAAAAGAGATTGTAATTTGCTAAGAAATATGTCAACAAATCACTGGAATTTTGGAACTTGATTATTTGGTACAATGAATTGAAATTTGAACTATTTGGACAAAGAAACAAATTTATGTGGAAACCAAAAGAATCAGCATTGAAAACATGTTATCTGTTATCATATGGGGCTGCTTCTCTTACAATGGTGTTGACAATTTGAAATTTATAATCTCTACAATGAATGCTGTTACTTACAGAGGGTTTACTAGATGCCAATTTATTTCATTCTACATTAGAAATGTGTCTTCAAAGGTATATTTTTCAGAGAGACAATGATCCAAAACACACATCTAAGACTGCTACATACTTTTAAACAGAAAACAGAAATTATAATATTGGAATGAATTGAAAATTCTCATGATTTGACCCCAATAGAACATTTATGGGATGTTTTGGATAGGAACATTTCTGCAGAATCACAGATAAAGAAGAATGATTTTCAAATGGTAATGAAGTTGCAATGGAAGAAAATACCTCTTGCAACACTGAAAAAAACTAGTTAAAAGTTGCAGAGAGATTAAAAGCAGTTATTTCATCCAAAAAAGGCAACACCCATTACTAATTTACAGTATGTGAAGATTTTCCTAGTGGCATTTGCAAAATTATGTTGTGTTTGCTAAATTGTTTTGCATTAGAAATTCTCTACTTATTTCAAATGTTAAAATTGGTTTTTATGTTTAATTAATATTAAAAATATATACATGTATCTATGACATAAAGTGCAAATTACAAAATGAAAATTAATAGCATTTTTTAAATTCATCACCTACTGTCAACTTAATTTTCTGATCCAGTATATGTGAAAATCAAAACATTTACTCTGGAGGCAATTTTTGAAAGCTTGCACTTGTTTACTTTACTCAGCACAAACATGTAAGTCAGAAAGGCAGGCAAGCAAGCATGTAAACAGGCACACCTGTCATTAGTATGCTTGTTTACATATTTGTGCTGTTAAATGCCCATAAATTGTGGTCAGCCATACACATAAGTTGTGGTCAGTATATCTTGTCAGTGCTTTTGCATCATGTTTGGCCATAATTAGTCTGATCCTCCTATTTTTAGTCATTCCCAAGTTATGGGACTATTTATTTGTTTGTAACACCCCATATACAATCCTGCTAATCCGAATTTTCTACTAATTCAAACAATTCTGTGCAATAGTTAGTGCATATCAACAAGAGTGGTTCAAAATACAATAGTATATTTTGAATTACAGTCAACCCCCTATAACACTGTTGATTTTTCCGTTTTATATGAATTCCATGTTGTACGAGTCACTTAGATTTTACAAATACGTGTGCCAGGCTGTGAACAGCTCACGTATTTGTAAAATCTAAGTGACTCGTACAACATGGAATTCATATAAAACGGAAAAATCAACAGTGTTATAGGGGGTCGACTGTACTTTTTGTAACAATGTCTATTGCATTAAAACATTTAGATTTTTTAAAATACTATTTTAAAATGTTTATATAATTATATAACACTGTATATTAACTCAAGACATTAACTGAAAATCTAAATCTTATAAATGACTAAATTTATTTTTATTGTTTAGATTTGTTTAAATTATTGTTTGCTTTATATTCATTTTACATAGTTTGGATATTAGTCATTCTATATTAGATATTTTCTTTTTACATCTAAATAAAATAATTCTTTATTTTGATGATAAAATGTAAAGTCTGTTTGTTATAGGAAATATGGAGGTATGCTTTTTGACTATTGTATAGACCAGGGTTGGCAAACTTCTGAGATGGAAGAGCCAAACTTGTCCCTCACAACAATTTAAAAATTATTCGAGAGCCATAAATATATTTTTACAAATAAAGAAAATTTAAAGTAATATTATTACAAGTTATTTAAATCAAAATGTTTTGTAAGTACTTAAAATCGTCGATTAAATCTTCAAAGCAAGAGAGAAATAATGGCAGCATGGCTAGTTTGCTGGAATGTGAATTTAGACTTGTATGATTGGCAGAATGTAGATCTTGTGCCATAGATGAAAGTTTGATTCTGATTGGCTATGTGACCTTTTTTGATGTTTATTATATGTATATACAGTAGAACCTCGATTATCCGGACTAATTGGGGATAAAAGTAGTCCGGATAAGGAAAAATCCGGATAATCGAAACAAATACTTTAATTTGTCTTTTAATGATAATACAACACGTTTTCTTTTCAATGACATATCGGTAATATTAAAAATAAATACTGTATTTAAATCGTGATCAAATTTTCAAGAAACAAATGTTTTATTGAATTTGGACTACTACTGACCAGCGCTAACAGACTACCTATTGTTTAAAAGGCCCTCTGGCGGCTCAAGAATACGGATTTTATAAAATAAAAAGCAGTCGAAACTGCATTTTTATGAATAAAAGTTTGACAAACTATTTATCGTTTTATGACAAGTAAAATTTTTTCGTCGCGTTCACGGCTTTTAAGTAATGCATAAACCTTCGAAACGCGAGGCCCTTCGGACCGCAAGGCATAGCCGGTGGCCCACGTTGCCCATACGCCGCCCTTGGTCATAGAAATGATGTAATTTGAATATAAATTATTTATAAATACGTATGTCAAGTTATATTTTTATTACGACACAAAATATATTTAAAAGTTTAAGACCACTGTGCCGGGTGAGACATTGTTGAAACAAAAAATGTTATGCATTCCATCGCGTACATAAACAGTGTCGTAATTCGCCAAGGGCAAATCAGCAAATTCGTAAAATTTTTGTTTATTTTGAACAATCCGGATAATCGAAAATCCGGATAATAGAGATCCGGATAATCGAGGTTCTACTGTATAGATATCATCCAAATTAATCAAAAAACATAGCATACAAAACAATTTTCTAAACCCAAAACCCAGTTGAAAGTTCAATGCAGTACTTGAACTTCAATATTTTGTAGCTCACAAACCCCTAGAAAATTTTCACTGTTTACCAAAATGCAAATGCAAATCAGTAGTGCTTTGAATTTGCATTCACAAAAAATGACAAGAACACATGCTCCCAAGACAATTCATCATCTTGAAAATGTATGCAGCACACCCCTTCTCATTTATTCAGTTTTGCTATATTAGAAAGATATAAGGAGCAATTACGATAAATCAGGAACCTGCTGGTATGCCCCAGTCAAGAGTTAAAAACATTGTTTCCAGGACCTACAATAAATGTCTACTAGTTCTTCAGGTACACCCCTTGTTCAATCCACAGTTAAAGACAGTTTGAACCAATAAAGTTATAAAATAAATATGATGAAAAAATAATGGTGAAATAATATAAATTTAATGAGAGTTTATGAAGCTTATGATTGTTGGTTTGAAAAGTCTTTGTTGACAACTAAATTTCTGAATTTTCAAAAAAGTTCACTTTCTTGGTTTCATTTTCCTTATTTGATGATAAATAATTTATCTGTGTATAATAAAAATTGTGTTTTTAAGTCTGTTTTGGACAAGGTTTGTTTCTTTTAAACCAGAATTCTGACTGGATATTAGATAATATCCAGTCAGAATCTGGATATATTATATACCAGTCAGAATTTTGGATATATATATCTGGAATTCTAAAATAATTTTGATTTTGTTCATAATAGGGATTTTTAAGTTCTTGATCAAATAATTTTTAAGCAGATTATTGTTTTATGATTTTCATCATTTTTCTTAATTTTTACATTCAGAACTATTACTTATGTTAATAGCATTTTTCAGATAAAATTAAAGATACACATTTAGCATATCTTTAGTCATAAAATTCTTTATCTTATTTGATTTTTTCATTACATTTATATACATTTTGTCCCATACTAATATGATAAGCCAATCCTAGAAATGATTGCATAAACTGAAAACATGCAAAGAGAAGGTAATTTTTAATTATTATTTTAAATAAATTCTAGAAGTGCTGTACAAATGTCTCTACCTATTTTGTTAACCAAAAAAAATCTGAAGATGATTTTGATGTTTTGAAAAAAGATGAAAAGTAAAAATAATGTTTAGTGTTTGTTTTGCAGCAAGATATTTTAAAGACATTGTGCAACTGAGCAGCAAGGTGTCTTCAAGCTTTTCTCTTGGGAACTACACTCAGCATCAAGCTGCCGTAGCTTTAAACTGTGTCTATCAACATTTGTGCTTTGTGTTGTTTTATTTTGTGCATTTTTTAACAAAAATAAAATGATAAAATGGATAGTCTATTGCTTGAGTGGATTGATTGGTGTGTAAAGTGTGATTTCTTGTAAGCTTCTTTATTTAAGAAGAAATCAGCCAATTTTTTCACTAAGCTGAAACAAAGAATGGACAATGGTGATGAAAATATTGCAAAAGTGGAATTTAAAGTTAGATATGGAGGGTTTGATTGGTTCTGGAGACCAGGGCAGTTTCCTAGCTTAAAGGTTACTCCTGGAGACGATACTTCTTGTTTCATTAACTACACTGTATTTACATTTTTACTTTAGATAGGCTGTGTATTTATCATATTCCTGTTTTTACTATGTTCTAGTAATGTATTTTAGGTTTTGTATGTTATTTTGTATATTTTGAGAGTTTTTGTATGTTTAGTAAGTTAATTTTAACTCTGGGGATGCATGCTCAAACATTTTTCCATATAAATTAATGGTAATTGCTTCATCCTCAGCCTAGATTCTGCTTCTTTCAGTAATTCCTTCTTTATTTTATGCCATTTTTACTTATAAAAGGTTTTACAAGAATTCTCTACTTTTGGATATTGGGGTGAACTTGTACATATTTCAGTATGAAAAATTCGATGAATTTCTGCATTGATCTAAATACTTAAATATTATTATAAGAAATACATTGAAACACATAAGTGTATGCATTACATATCATGTTAAGACAATCTCTGAGAAGTGGGATAGAGATAGATTTTCTTTAAATTTGGATATCTGAGAAAACTTAAATGGAGAACTATTTTGGAGATACTATTTTTAAACATATTCTGCTTGCTATGCTACTGTTCAAACTTTTTAATCAAAATCAAATTTCTTATATAATAATACTAATAGAAATTATAATTACATCACTTTTTAATACATTAATTTATGAGTTTTTTTAGTTTTAATTAGTACTGCTATTTTAGCAATGAGATTCATTATAATTATGTTTGCAATATTTAATTTAATCATACTTGAAAAGATTTAAATATGATAATTTTATTAAACATGTAAAAGTTTCATTACAAAATAGTAATAAAACTTATTTTAATAGGTGTTTCAACAACTCCACCACCAAATTTAGGTTGTATACCATGTCCTGGAGCAAGTGATCCTGTTCCAATTTTGTCAGGTCCAACATTTCCACAGTCAGCTAGTGTACCATCATCTCCTGTTAGACATCCAACAGTGCAGGTAAATAAAATATAGAGTTCTCGTTCATTCTTTCATTACCGTATTTACTCGCATATAAGACGACCTCGCATACAGGACAAGGTGTGACTTTAAATATAAAAATAAAGAAAATTAGATTTATTAATACAATTCTAATATTATTTCGTTTAATCACAAGTAAAATATCAAATGAACATAAATGCACACATTGTCTCGCAAAAATTACTGGCATTTTAAACTTCAAGGAAAAATCTTGTAAAATTGACAACATAATTTGCTAATGTAAAGCTGGACAATCAGAAACCTTTTATTGCCAATTCTTAACAGTTGAATCCACTCTACGTCAATTACACTTATGAGTTTCTCCAAATTTTGATTTCCGAATAATCATGTTTTCACATGGGAATGGATTAAAACTAGTGATGCAATGAATAGTATATTTGGCTAAACTATTCAGCTTAATTAATGCATGTACAAAAATTGGCACACAAACTGCATTTGGCAGTTTGCGTGCCAATTTTGGCAAGGATCACACACCCTGCTCTCTATTATGCACTGTCACTATGCTTCACCAATTGCATTAATTCTTGACAGTTGTAGTGGACAGACATGAGCGTCATGGCAGTATGTGATAAGTGATGATATCAAATGTGGATAACAATGAAATGACCTACACGTGTAAATAACGGAAAAAGAACAGAGAAGGACCGCAAATTGAAAATGTGAAAATAAATATGAAATTGAGTTGATAACATAATCGAACATGTCGAGACAGCTTATTGGTGCAAAATTCACGGCTGTCAATGCCAAATAGATTTCAGAAAGCTAAATGCTTGTAATGAAAGTCACTTAGCGTGCATGGACGAAAGCCTGAGGCCGTTCAAGCTACCAAGCTGTCTGGAACTTCAGTTATGATAAACAATTTTCTACAATGAAACAAAAAAGTTAATGTAATTTTCAAGTTTATAATAAGGGAAGATTTCATAAAAATGCTTTACAGATCATTTATTATTAATTTTTTCATATTTTATGACATAAGTTTCAATCTAATGTGCTCACGCAATAAAAATTTTCATACAAAGTTTTTACCCTTTTCGCCCTTTAGGGCTGAATTTCGTAAAATCTTTTCTTAGCATGCCTAAACTCTACAAAAGGAACACACCCTCAAATTTTTAAGTTTCTAGCACCAGTAGTTTAGGCTCTGTGTTAATTATCCTATCAGGACTTGTTCTTTTATATACAAATATATAGATGACTAAACTACATAATAAAGTACAAATACAAAATAAAATACAAAAAAGGTAACAAATCAAATGAAATCTACCTATAGTTTTCATTTAATTTGTTACCTTTTTTTGATCTCTTAAAAAATAACTTAGTTATATTACTTTTCCTTTGATCTTTTATGTAAATAAGCAAAAAATTGCACTTTCTCAAACTTGAAATGTATGTTCAGCATTAATAAAAGTTACCAAAATGATTAATATACTGTGTTTTTGTTATTTCTTAATTCTTTTTTAGGTATTTGGTATTTGGCCAAATAGTGATTACATATTCGATATTTGGCCGAATAGCAAAACATAGATGGAATAGGCCGAATACCAAGTAGTAACCAAATATTCGTTGCATCATTAATTGAAACTTATATCATGCTCCCGTGTGATTTTGAAATTTCAATCTGAAATTCAATTCAAAAGCTTTTCCTATTGATATTTATCTTTACTTCTGAAAATATATTATACAAGAATGATTCAAATGACCCAGATAAAATAATTGTTTTTAAATACAAAAGAGTAAGCATCTGGTAAAAAATGTGAATATATGGTTCACAAAAATTATTTGCAAAAACGCAAGGAATCTTTCACTAATGCATATAGGACGACCTAGAAATTTGAAGCTATTATAAATGAATAAAAACCTCATTTTATATGCGAGTAAATGTGGTAATTAAATTACAGAACTTGATAACTTAAATTATGTTAAATAAAATGAGCATATATACAGTACAGAATATTTTTTATATCTGTGATAAAGGTTTGCATTTTATATTCACTGTGTAAGTTGATCCTTAGTTTTGAAGAGTTTTTTGTCATCATCTTGTATAAACCAAACATAATGTACAACTATGTTGAAAACAACAGCACAAAAAAACATAATCCAGGTATAATTATGTTGTTTAGCATAATATGTAGACAACATACTTGATATTTCAGCAATAAAAATTAACTTTACAGAATGAAAAATTTCACTGCATGCATTTTTGATTGAATGCTAATTTTATAGTAAACTAACCAATTGCCTAGCATTACCTGGAGAACTTAAATAAAGATGCAGGAATGAATAAAATGAATATGTGCCATTATCCAGCTATAACAAAATGAATAATTTTGTTATAGCTGGATAATGGCACATAATGTATGTACAATGCATGTAGATGGTTACAATATTTAAATGATCTTCCATAGAATTTTAAGAATATACAGATGTATAACATAAACCAAAATCATTAGCCAAACTTTAGCCTGAACTGTTGGATTATGTTTCAGGCTGTTACCTGGAAAGAGTTGCTAATTTTTCACTTTTTGCAATAATGTTATTTACTTTTTATATTTTTAGTGTCTAAATTTTGCATTTAACATGTTTTACTTTATTTAGCTCTAAAATTGGCTTTTTACACAACAGAGAAATGTTTGATAAAATTAAAGCTAATGTCAGACAAGCATGAAAATGCATGAATGCTATTTTTTTTTATTCACAGATGTGAAAATTTACAGTGGCAAAGTCAGTAGTCAGACCAGCACTGGTTTTCGTGGAGTGTGTTAGTAGTCAGCTTTATTTCAGATGTGTATATGTAAACATGGATCTTGTAGATTGCGATGCACTGTTTTTTTTATTATGTACAGAAGTATTTAAAAATAAAAAAAATGATATAGGCAATATTGGGTATGCCTTTTTGATTGTAACTGGCCTTCTTTTTTTCTTATTTCTGATTTTAAAGTTCAAATGAAGTTTCTCTCGATTCTGGCCTCTCACTAATTTATATGATCATTTTACTTATATCAATGTCCATTTTTAAAATATGCACATAGCATACACTCTTTGGCAGGAACAACACTGATCCAGTATTTCCTTGGAACAATGTTAACACCTTCATTGTTTTTCAGGCTTGTCTGATGACCATAGACATCAAGTGTGTCTCCCAGTGCACAATGGTCATGCAATGTTGTAAGATTATTGTGTGTGTGCCACACAACATGATTTTTCATGTCTGTGTCCAGCTGACTACTCCCATATGTTTTTGCAATTTTATGATGTCCATAAAAACGACTGACGTGAAATCATGCTATCTGACAATAGCCTAAAAAGTATATATAAAAGGAAGAAAACAGTAAATATTAAGATTACAAATCTAAAGATATTAACAGTTTTCTAATAACTGACAATTTCTTTCATTGAACACTTTGTTCTATGAGAAACTCAAACTGCTGATCACACAGTCATTTTGTTTTTCTTTTGCCCTGTGAGAACTAAGAGGGTATTTTTTCTAGACCCACATTGGGATAATCGGGGTGAGAGATGTAGCCTGACATATCTGGGACAGACTACCAATGAAAAATTTCTGGGTTCTCTACCAGAAGTCCTGGATCTTCCAGTGAAGTAAGCTGATTTCTTTACTACCTTGGCTATATGGCCAACATAAATATGTTTGACAATATGTATAACAAACACTATTAATTAATTAAATTAAAGATGCCATTGTACCAATTTACTTGATAGTAGGCATGTGTACAATGGCCAACTGCCTGCACCACTCAATCATTTTGTCTGTTATCTTGTGCACAAACAAATCATGTCTATCAAACTGATATACATCTGAACCCAAAATTTCAGCAAAGATTTTTTGCTGAAATATATATATATATAGATTTGTCTTGGTTTTGAGTGCAATGCAATACATATAAAGAAGAAAAGCAAATTTTTTAATAAATTAAGAAGAAGAAAATGAATGTAAGTGGACCTTGGTTAAAAGTGTGATAAACTATTTGGCATAGAACTTAGGCTTTACAGAATAAAATTTTTATACAGTAATAACAGAAAGTCGCTTTTATATACTGATAATTGTACTTATGTACTGTATTTTACATGAACTTTTATATATCCCTGCCCAATAAGAAAATAAATGGAATAACAACAATTATATTACGAATATAATAACTACAGATTATTGCAGATATCAGTTTTTTGCTGATGATGCTGATGAAAATAAGAAAGTATTTCTTATTTTAACAATAAGAACAAGCCTTAAACATTTGCATAGAGTGATGCATATAAGAAGAAAATGCTTACAACGCATAAATTAAAACTTCTAATAAGCCATGCATATATAGCCAATTTAAAATATTCTCAACTATGTGGACAATATTAATTTTAAATAATTAATAAATAATTAGTTAAAAATAAGACACTTTTTTTTATAAAGCAAAAAAAAAATTACATTAATTATTCACATTGCTGCATATTATTTTTGTCCAGTGTTTCCTAATTAGGTACTTTTAAAATAAAAATTTACTAGTATGCTTCACATTTTATTGTTTTAAAGTAAAAGACAAAAGGAAAATTTGTATTTCATAGCAAAGATAACCATGAGAGTACTAAAGATTTTTTTTGTTTGACTGAAAAAATTATATCTTTAAGAAGTCATCAAAAAAATTTGTTTTTATGAAAGGAAACGTTATCTGTGAATGATGAATGGTAAATTGTTGTTTTTTTTATTATAAATAATTTTTCTGGTTTAAATGAGATCACAAATATATAATGATAATATTTAAGAAAAACATTTAGTAAATTATTTTTAATAATTTCTTGATTTAAGGCTGTGTACTGTACCTTAATTAAACTGATATTTTTGACAAATAGCATTCAAACTAAACTTGGCCAATGAAATGATAAGAATAAGCTATATACAGTAAGACCCTGCTTAACGTGAGGGATGCATTCCTAGACAACAAAGTGCTAAATGA